TAATGCATCTGAATAAAGTCTGATCGAGAAATGACCCAGTGACGTCACCGAACACGTTTTTTTCGTCATTTACAATTATTTAAATAAATAAATAAAATAAAATAAAACAAGTAATAAACGTATTATACGACTACAACAACGCAACGCGGGGCCGCAAATATTACATGGTTACATAAATGTCACAACGATTTTTAAATAAACGCAGCGAGGGAGGGAGAATTTACTGTAGGACTACAGTCTTCAAGTCAGCCACTCCGCAATATAAAGTTAATTTCAGACAGTTNGCACGCACGCACGCACGCACGCACGCACACCCGTGTACGTACACACGCACGCACGCACGTGTACGTGAACACGCACGCACGCACGTGTACGTGCACACACACACACACACGCACACACGCACGCACGTACACACGCACGTGTACGTGCACACGCACGCACGCACGCCTACGCAGTAGCACTGTTCATCTTAATCAGCTACTGTTATAGACACGCGCGGTTTACCAAATTTTGCTGGGGCGGCGCACGACTTCGGAACCCGACAATCGAGACAAGTAAACAACAAGCGCGCAGCGTTAAACCAGCAAACATAAATAAGTTGTATTTCAAACGCGCCGCTGATAGAGATAAACCGAAATAGATTTTTACACACATCCAAATTCGAGCATTGATACTATAGGGGAGGGGGGGGGTTGCTTAAGATGAAATCATGTGTTTTTTTTTCTTATTTGATGTCGAGTACGCGAGTTATGAAAATAGTTTGCCGCGACTAGACATTGAGACTTTCCCACCAATTACCTTCCCTTCGTGAGATTTAATATTTTCTTGCTTTACATATAAAGTTACAGCTAAGAATATTGGTATAAGCCGTGATTTACGGGGTCGGACGTCGCGAACGTCGCGTCGCGTCAGCGTTCGATCGTTCGTCGTTTGGCCGGAATTTTGCCACGAAATAACAGGCCTGTCTTGTAGATAATTATATTACGAAGGAAATAAAGTCAATACCGGGTGTAGGCATGCAGTAAAAAGCATAAACGCCACTGCTGAATAAACGCATGCTTGAATATGCACCAGGGTCATGTGTGACGAAAACAATAAAACGCCGGGACGGCGGTTGCGTGTATTTCGAGGCGAATACCGGTTACATCAACACACCAGTGACAGACACAATTTATCTCTCTGTTTTGTGCACAAACGTTGTGTGCTGTGTGTGTGTGTGTGCGTGTTGCTGTGTGCGTGTGCGTGTGGCGTGTGCGTTGCGTGTGCGCTTGTGCGCCTCGTGCGCGTGTCTGTGTGTGGAAGAGAGGGAGTGTGTTTGTGCGTGTGGCCCGTGTGCGTCTTGCCGTGTGCTGTGTGCCGTGTTTGTCACAATTAAGGTAAAGTATTATTACCATGATTAGAAATATTATCGGCCTATCGTGACCTTCGGTCTATCGCGACCTTCGCGTCTAATATGGTCCCTTTCATATTCGCGTCTATAATCGGGAACCTTCGGTCTATCGACCTTCGGTCTATAGGTCCCTTTTCAATATTCGGTCTATCGGACCTTCGGTCTATAGTGTCCCTTTCAATATTCGGTTCATCGGACCTATCGCGTCCTATAGGGCGAGCCCCCGATAAGTTATGCCTCCTCCCTCAGTACAGGGGAGAATGGCCTGCGATGCGCTCCTGCCTGTCAGTACGTCTAAGGGGTCGTTGTAGTATAGTTACAAGATATGTCCCGAAGGTACATACTATGTAATACACACGTTGTACAGACTTGTACTACAGAAGTGTACCCAGCCGGGCGGATGACAGGATACTTTGTCTAGGGCGGGTGGGGTGCAGTTGGGAAGGGCCACTTGAGATTTTTTGTTTAGGCGGCAACTGAAGCGGCGGCAGCGCCGTCCGCTTCTAGTCGCGCGAGGACCGCGAGGTGCGAAAGGAACCGGTGGCGGCGGTCGGGGGATGGCCTTCCCAGAAAACATTTTTAAATCAAGACTTCACTTTTTTATTGCATTTTCAGAGCATATGAGGCGGAATTTTTGTACCTTCAACGTCTTGTCATTAAGCAATGAAACAGACAAGTTCAGTAAAGGCAAAATCCCAAAGCCACAAAACCATCAACTTGCAATTGACAATTAACTGCTCAGAACGACAAGATACTAGTACCGGTGAAATCAAACTGCCCCGATATGCGCAAGTTGACCATTTTATTACAAAGAAAATTAAAATCATTTACATGTTACTAATTTTATATGCTTTCCGCTTTCATACATTTAGATATAAAACTTGAACTTTCAACTTGATTTCATGGAATGATTATTATCTTTACTTATAAACGATACTCAGCTATTCTTTTGCCACAGGGGCGTGTACAGGGATTTGTACAGGAAAGGGGTCCAACTCGTAACACAAAACTGGAGACGCGCGAATGGGGGTGTCTGTGGGCCTCCCCCAAGAAAAATTTGAAATTTAGACCCCCTCAACGATTGCGTTTCTGCGGCGAAAGGGCAGGTGCGGGCGGTACCCGGACCCCTGGACCCCCACCCCGTACACGCCCCTGTGCCAAGTAGTATTACGTACCAAATTTAGACAAATGATGTGGGCTCTTGCCAGAAGAATATTAGTAATAGTACTACTTAAGTACCACGTTTTAAGTAAAAAATGCAAAGATAAGCATCCCGAAAACATATTCAGAATTGAAATTATTGAAGCGAAATAATTAGCAGGGGGGTTATTACCCCGGAGCGGTTACCAGGTCTACTAACAAGCAATCAACGCTGGCGCAGCCCTGGCCGCGCGATCTGTCAGCGCCGAAACAAGTCCTGGGTCGCCCCCCCGTTCCCCCTAAAACTCGCCTCGGCAAAAACAAACTTATTTTTCAGTATTTTCTGCTTTAAAAATTCTATATTATTATTTTTTAAAATGGTGGAGAGAAAAATTTTCCGTGGGCCGAAAAAGCGACCACTCTAATTTTTTAGCGGGGGGTGCGCCACCCCCTGCCCCCCCCCCAGCCACCCACCCTGGCCTTCGCCTTGCGTACCCTAACCCTACCTAACCCTAAACCCTAACCTAGACCCGTAAACCCTTAAACCCCTTACCCTAAACATACCTTATATAAAAATCATTAACATAATACTAAGCAAACCTAAAAACCTCGAGAGTAATATCTGGTAGCTAACCTTGATATGACAACGACCCATCTGCCTCAGTACAGGAGAGAATGGCGCGTGTGTGTAAAGTTGTGTCTGAACTGTCGGGATAGCGCCATTTTATAATCGTTGAATTGTTTCAGGAGCACTCGGCGGAGCAACAGTATCTACAGTTCAGGGCCGTGTACAAGCAGGAAGAGGTACTTACACTCTCCCCTGCCTCCACCGCTGCCACTGCTCTCTCGCGCACGCGCATCGGGGAAAAATGAAACTAATCACGAAATAAATACTGTTACTACTAATAATAATGCTAATAATAAAGCGTAATAATATAACTAATGATGACTAATCGTTGCATTTTCGGCGACGGCACGCGTTACGTGGCGTGAATGGCGGTGTGCTTCTGCTGACAGAATGCTAAATCGTTTCTCCTTTGTTGCGTAATGAACCAAGCGGCAATGTGTTATTATGTGTCGATGCAGCAAACTAGAGTGAAACGTGGATTCATAACTTCGGTATTATAATTTAATTATTAGTTGCTAACCTCTTTTAATATCGTAATATCAACGATAATTCAGAAAATGATAATGTAAAAAATCTAACGACCTCTGTCTCTCTCCCCAGGAGGCAGCAAAGCGGGCGGGCAGGCGGCCGTCGCTATGGCGATGCTACGCGAGGGTGTCATGGCGGACGATGGTTTACACGGGCGTCTGCAAGCTGTTCGCGGTGCTGCTGGTGTTCGTCGGACCGTGGGTCATCGGGCGCATCATAGTCTTCCTGTCACGCACGTCTACGGATGCTGATACCGTCGCCCCCGGCAACCAGGTACGCGATATATTCGTCTAGTATAATAGTATAATAGTATAACTGCGTATGTATGGGTGTGTTGTATGGGTCAGTATATTCGTCTAGTATAATAGTATAACTGCATATGTATGGATATGTTGTATTGGTCAGTATATTCGTCTAATATAATAGTATAATAGTATAACTGCGTATGTATGGGTGTGTTGTATTGGTCAGTATATTCGTCTAGTATAATAGTATAATAGTATAACTGCACACGTATGGGTGTGTTGTATGGGTCAGTATCTTCGTCTAGTATAATAGTATAATAGTATAACTGCGTATGTATGGGAGTGTTGTATGGGTCAGTATATTCGTCTAGTATTATAGTATAATAGTATAACTGCGCACGTATGGGTGTGTTGTATGGGTCAGTATATTCGTCTAGTATAATAGTATAATAGTATAACTGTCAGTAACTAATAATTACTCTCATCGTTAACTTAACACGACCACTTTGATGCTAGTTGTTAGATCGCTTATACAGTTATATAGATAGGTTATTAACATTGAAACCGACGATTGCATTCACAAATAATTTTTATAGATAGCTTTGATATGTAGATAGCAAGATTTGACCGATCGCGTCCGTGCGTTTCAGACGGCGGCGGCGGTGGTGGACGTGAGGCATCTCGCTGACAACGGCTACGTGCTCAGCCTCCTCCTCTTCCTCGCATCCCTGCTGCATCACACGCTTACACAGAGCTTCATGCTTCACGCGCTCGTCAAGGGCGTGCACCTGCGCGCCGCCATCCAGGTACGCGCCGGCACCCCCTGGTGGCACGCCGCGGGGGACCGAAGAGTTCGTTGGTCGGATGAAGTGGGATTTGTGATTCGCACTCGTGGGGTTTAAAAAATTTAACGTCGCGTTAGCTCACGTGCATTGTTTTTGGACTTGATTAACAGATCGAAAAAGGGGGATGCTATGAAAGTTGTGCTGGAATGCTAAATGTTATTATTTGTGTGTTTGTCGATGCAGTTTTACACCAGGTTGACTTAGTGCTGGCCAATAAAGCTGTCTACGTGAGACTCGAACGTGATTGTCGTTTGTTTACATCTCCATCGCAGATGTTTGTTTACGACAAGTCACTGCGCCTCGCTCTGTGGAGCCACGGTGGCGCCTCCACCGCCCCCGGCAGCGACGCCATACCCGCGCTCGCAAACTGCGACAAGACGGGCGCCACCGAGATGGTGTCACTCGCTGCCGGCAGGGGGAGCCACCGCGAGACGAGCGGCGGGAACCGAGCGGACGCGGAGATGGACGGCGTGCTCGATCTCACGGACGTGACGCTGCTCGCCGGGGAAGAAGCTAACCACCTCCCTCCCCCGCCCTCCCCCGCCGCCGCCGCCGCCGGACCCCCCTCCCCCCGCTTCCCGACGCGGCGGCGGCACGGCGGGGGAGGAGCACGCGGATGCGGCGTCAGCGCGGGGGACGGGCGAGATCTTCAACCACGTCGCAACGGACGCTAACAACGTGCTCATGATGATCTACCTGTTCCACTTCGCATGGACCATGCCTATAGAGGTGAGAGCGCAGCCGCGCACACAGGGGGACAGCATTACGTAGGGCTGGAGGTGTTAGTGTTCAGACTATAGTAAGTAACGGGTGGATGTATGTAATATGAAGATGGAGGTGTTAGTGTTCAGACTATAGTAAGTAACGGGTGGATGTATGTAATATGAAGATGGAGGTGTTAGTGTTCAGACTAATAGTAGTATTTATAACGGGTGGAATATATTAATATGAAGATGAGGTTGTTATGTGTCAGACTAGAGTAAGTAAGGTTGGATGTAATGAAATGAAGAGGAGGTGTTATGTTTAGACTAATAGTAAGTAACGTGGATGTATGTAATATGAAGAGAGGTGTAGTGTTCAGACTAATAAGTAACGGGTGGATGTATGTAATATCATGAGTTAATAAAGACAAGTAGTAGAAGGATTGAGCATGTATGTATCCTCTCCAGGTGAGCATCACTATCTACCTGTACCATCACCTTGGCTGCAGCGCTCTGTCGGTCTCGCCATCATCATCTATCTTCATGCCCGGTCCAGTAGCAAGATCGGCTGCATGCTCGCCCAGAACAGCGACGACACCGGTAGGTGTTGCTAGTCGCATTCCTCGCGTGACCGCTCGTCGAGTGTTGCTTGTTGCTTGAGGCACACGAATTTCGGCTTGCATTGTAAAAGATCGTAAGTTCTGTGATTGACGCGTTTTCGGTGGCGATGTGGTTTTGAACTTGCTGCCATGACATTTTTGACAGTTGTAACGTTTTTGACCCGTTGCCGGAATTTTGACCTGTTACGTACGTTTTGACAATTGTGACCATTTAACCCGTTGTCGTGACGATTGACCCGTTGGCTCTTTTTCGTGGTTACAGCGGCACCCTGACGACCGCATCGGGTCCGCACTAACGAGCTGCTGCTGGGGGTGCGTACGATGACAGAGCTGGCCGTGGTCAGGACGCACTGTGGCCGGCGTGTGTGAGCGCGGTGATTGAGGAAGAGGTGCGAGCGCTGCTGGCGGGCGCGATGCTAACGTCCCTGGCGACCAGTTCGTCAACAACGGAGTGCCGATCAGGCACGCTCGTGGTGATGTTTCATCCGGCTGTCCGTATCTATAATAGCCTGTATTATCGTGTGATTTCGTTAACAACGGCGTGCCGATTGCAGTGCACGTCTCGGGTGAGGTTGTCATCGCAGCTGTCTGTATTATATATACCTGTGTCTATATAATATATACGCTGTATGTATCGTGTGTAAGTTCGTAACACCGGCGTGCGCGATCAAGTGTCACGGCTCGTGTGAGTGTGCATCCGCTGTCGCGTATCTATATATCCCTGTGTCTATATAATATATACCTGATGTATGCGTGTATGTCGTTAACAACGGCGTGCTGATGCCGGTCACGCCGTGTGAGTGTGTCATCGCCTGTCCGTCTCTATATACTACCTTGTCTATATAATATTACCTGTATGTATCGTGTGATTTCGTTAACGACGGCGTGGCCGAATCAGTGTCAGGGGGGGGGGGGGGGGGTCGGGGGCTCAGTGTGAGTGTTGTCATCCGCGCTGTCCGTACTATATATTACCTGTTCTATATAATCATATACCTGTAGTATCGTGTGATGTTCGTAACAAAACACGGTGCTGCCAGTTGGTCACGCTCGTGTGATTGTTTGTCATCCGGGGTGCTGTCGTATCTATAATACCTGTGTCTATATAATATCTACCTGTTGTATCGGTGATGTCGTTAACAACTGGGTCCGATCAGTGTCACGCTCGTGGTGAGTGTTGTCATCGCGCTGTCCGTATCTATATATACCTGTGTCTATATAATATATACCTGTATGTATCGTGGATGTCGTTAACACGGCGTGCTGATCATGTCACGGCTCGTGTGAGTGTTGTCATCACCTGTCCGTATCTATATATACGTATGTTATCGAGTATGTTCGTTAACAACGGCGTGCCGATCAGTGTCACGCTCGTGGTGAGTGTTGTCATCGTGCTGTCCGTATCTATATATACCTGTGTCTATATAATATATACCTGTATGTATCGTGTGATGTTCGTTAACAACGGCGTGCCGATCAGTGTCCACGCTCGTGGTGAGTGTTGTACCTCGCGTGTCCGCGTACTATACTATACCTGTGTCTATATAATATATACCTGTATGTATCGTGTGATGTTCGTTAACACGCGTGCCGATCAGTGTCACGCGTCGGTGAAGTGTTTCTCGTGCTGTCCGGATCTAATATGAACTGTTCCGTACTATATTGTACCTGTCACAGTGTGTGTATCTATATATACCTGGTCCGTATCTATATTGTTACCTGTGTGTATCTATACTACCTGTGTGTATCTATAATTACCTGTGTGTTATCTATATGTAGCCTGTGTGTGTCATCATATGTACCTGTGTCCGTATCTATATATGTACGCGTGGTATCTATACTACTGTGTGTAGTTCTATATTACTGGTGCTGTATCTATATGTAGCCTTGTCCGTATCTATAACCTGTGTGTGTATCTATATGTACCTGTGTCCTATCTATATGTCCGCTGTGTGTGTATCTATAATGTACTGTGTCCGTACTATATTACCTGTGGTGTGTAATCATATGTATCTGATTCGTACTATATATACCTGTGTGTGATCTATATTGTACTGTGTGGTGTATCTATATGTACCTTGGTCCGGTATCTATACTATACCCTGTGTGTGTATCTATATGTACCTGTGCCAGTATCATAATTATGTAACCTGGTCCGTATCTATATATATCTGTGTGTTGTACTTATATGTACCTGTGTCCGTATCTATATGTACCTGTGTTGTACTATATGTAGCCTGTGTGTGTATCTATATGTACCTGTGTGTGTATTCTATTACCCTGTGTGCAAATGTGTTATGGTCGTGAGTGCGTGCGTAACGATGATAACCTCTCTCTCTCTTCCTGCTCTCTCTCCGCATTGTGCAGTCGTTTGGCATGTACACGGCGATGCTGCGCACGGCTCGACCCGGAGAGGCGTCACACTCCCTCCGCTGTCGGCAATGCTCAACATCGCCTTCATGTTCCCCATGTCGTCTCGACCTTCGTCAATGCCGCGTCAGTCACGCGGCGCTCGCACCTTCTGCCCCCCCGAGTACGCCGACGCACCGGCGCCGCCGCCGAGGTCGACGACCACCGCGAGATCCGACGAACCCAAATCAGTTGGCGCCTGCCCGACAAAGGCAGCCGACGCCCCGCGCTCTCGCCGGGCGCGAAGTTCGTCCCACCAACCAGGAGGCTGCCGCTGCGGCGAGGGCACCGACCACCAGAGGCGCCGCCGCGCAGGAGGGCACCTGATCCACGAGGAGGCGCCGCCGGTTTTGTTTTTTTTTTTGTTGGCACGAAGTCGCCGACCACCAGAGGCGCTGCCGTGCGAGTGCGACGCGGCGCGAACGGTACTGCCTCGCCGAGAAAGTAATGGCGATGGCGACGCCAGGGTCGACGCGGGGCGGGCAGTCACCGGGCAGCGTGCGCTGCAGGCGATGTGGCGACGAGCGTCGAATGAAGTTGCCCGCCAGGCGGCGGCGTCGTCGGTAACGCTCCGGGTGACGCGGCAGAGATGCCGCGAGACAACGCGCCGCCAGGCGCGGCCGGCAGCAAAACCAGAGCACAGGCAAGACCCGCGCGGAAACCACTACCAACAGCCCCTCGCCCACCGCACCACCCCCCACACACCAAACCACGAGGATGGCGGAAGGCGGCGTGGTTATTGGATCGCTGGCTTCGCGGTGGGACGCGCGAGCGGACCGCTGCGCCCCAACCGCGGCGGTGACGTCCACACACACACACCGCCACACCTCCACACCACAACACGTAGGAGCCGCGCAGCGCAAAAGTCCTCAGCTGAGCCTAGCCGCCATCTTGGCAACGCGATGCTGAGAGGCCCGTCGAGTTCCACGGTGATGACACGCAAAGCGGGGGCGAGGCAGGCTGCGCCCACGGGCGGTGTGGGTGGGCGGGTGGGAGCAGGGGTGGGGGTCGTTGGCGGGGTGGTGGGTACGACGGGACACAGTAGAGGCCCGTCGAGTTCCACGGGTGAGTGAGTGCGAACGGTGGCGGGGCTGCGTACGGCGGGGTTGTGTTGCGGGGTGTGGTGAGACCGCGATGCGTGAGAGGCTCCGTCGAGTTCGCACGGGTGAGTGACACTGAGCGGGTGGGGCGGGCTGCGGCTACGGTGCCGGTGCGTGGGGCGGGGGTGATGGTTTGAGACGGAGGACGCGTGAGAGCTCCGTCGAAGTTCGCACGGGTTGAGTGCACGACCGGGTGGGGTGGGGACCTGGTGGCGACAGAAAACTAATCTTGTGAACTTGTGGTGTGTTATATGGGTGACATGCTTGTCATGTGCGTGAGTGTAAGTTGCTGCCTATGTAGCGCCGGTGTTGTATGGGTGAGTGTTAACACCGTGGAAGTAGATACCTTGTGCTTGTCACATGTCCTGTGTGCGTGTGTGTGTGTGCGTGCGTGTGTGCGTGGTGTTGTCCTGTACGTCGCGTGCGTGTGTGTGTGTGCGTGCGTGTGTGCGTGGTGTTGTCCTGTACGTCTCCTCTACGTCTCCTGTATGTACGTACTGTAATTCACGCGCGTGCCTGCATCGTTGCAGCGGCCGTAAGGGCAGCATCGCGCTGTGTGCGCAGCGGCCGTGGCTTCTCAACGCCTCCGTCGCTGACAACATCCTCTTCGGCGAGGAGCGGGACGAGGCGAGGTACGCTGCGGTGGTGCAGGCGTGCGCGCTCGAGCCGGACATAGAACTACTGCCGGAA